AGATAAGTCAATAAATTATTACAACGAGTCAGGCGAGCGAAAACGTGAGCCTGACGAGGCGGCAGTGTATAGAGCCGTGCGTAGTTTGAAGGTTATGCAGAAAAAATCTCAGCTCGAATTTGGCGTAAGTGATTTCCGGTGTGTTAGTGAGATTTTTTTGGCCATATTAGGATGTAGTCGGATATTGTTGATATTTGGGACGCGCCTATCACAACACTATTTTCCTTTAGGTCGTCACAAGGCTTCAAAGAGTTGAAGTTTCCGAAGATCATTCTTTTCCCGCGTTCAGTCGTTCGGTTCTTCAGTTGGGCGTGGATTCATCGTTTATTTCGGTCAATAATTTGCATGAAATTTTGTTTCTTTAAAACTGTATGAAACTTAGATTCCTTACGTTTGAATCGTAAAATTTATAAGCTCATCAAGACCCGAGTCGTTTTCTGGAATCAACTCGACGGTGTGTTGTTTGTTCGAGCGAAAGAGCTCTTTCATTGTCAGTTGCAACCAACGTGTTGATGGAGCCAAAGGAGCTCAAATCAAACCAACGAGTGCACTCTGTGAGCAGAGTTCTGAAAAAGAAAGAAACTTCAAACCAAACAAATATTAATAACATTGCGTCTAGATACCCGGCAGTCGAGAGGTGTTTTAAACGTTATTTAGGCGTGATATTATGTCATGACTGAAACATACTTATCACTACGATGAACAAGGTTAGATTCTTTACAAGCCATATAAGTTTGATTATAATTTATATTGAGTCAATCCTTTAATATATGCAATATATGCCGAGGCATACATCTGGGGATTCCCGAAATAAGCCCGCAAGCAAATATGAAGCTTCGAACCAATGGACAAAGACTGGTAAGCAAATTGAATAAAAAATAAATTATTATTTCTTCCAGATAACCAGTGCAGCCAAACGCGGGGCTGTTGGAGCGATCCTGTATGTAGATCCTGAGACCGTAGCCAAAGAAGGAACTGATGGGAGCGACACTTATCCTAACGCTCCGTGGGGGTCTAAACATGCTGTGTTCTCGAAGAGTCTGAAGCAGTTTAGTGGAGATCCGTTAACACCACACTTACCATCTATTGCAGGAATGTATCGCAGGCCCAGAAACGAAACCCACTTTCCAAACATTCCAGCCCAGCCAATATCTTACGAGGACGCCTTATATCTACTGAGTCGTCTCAAAGGCGAGTCCAACACCATGGCATAATCTGTTGACTTCACGCATCTGATTGTCCTTTTTTCATTGATCATCAATTATTCATGAATTTGAAACAGAGGAAATCATAACCATGGCGGTGTTTGAATATCTGATATTAAATAGCTTAGATTTTTACGATTTTTCTCCTTAGTTTACTTGTGATTAAGAGGATATATCAAACACTCGGGACCACATTTACAAAAAGACCCAGGTTCGTCAAAAACACTCCGCTGCATGGTTGAACATGTGGTAAAAACAGTTTCTCGTGTTTGATATGTTACGTGGAATAGAGTGTGTTCACACACGTGGCCGGAGGCCTTGCAAATTAATTTATCGGAACGAAAGAAATTTGTTTAGTACCTCTTAGGGGTGAAGATGGAGGTATACCACGTTCACAACAAGAGATTCTGGTACTTTTTGGGAGTTCTAAAAATTTGCTACGTACGCCCCATTACCAAATCTATAAGATATATACGCCATGTTCATAACAATTTTAACCTGAGTGACAACGATTTGATTTGCACTGGCTTCAAATTGTTTTCGTTTGATTGAATAACGTGGCTTTTTGTTCGTCAATCATGTTTCAGGTAACGAAGTCCCCTGGTCTTGGCGTGGCGATCTTAAAATCACTTATAAATTTGGTCCGGGTTTCACCAACCCAAACACCACTGTGCGACTGCGAGTCAACAACGAACTTGTCGTAAAATCAATATACAATGTCATCGGTACCATCAACGGTCAAGAAGAACCCGACCGGTATGTCCTTGTCGGCAACCATCGGGACGCGATATACTTTGGAGCTGCGGACGCCTCGAGTGGTTCTGCCACACTGATGGAAATAGCTCGAGTCCTTGGAAAACTCAAAGGCGACGGCTGGCGACCGCGACGAACGTTAAAGTTGTGCAGCTGGGGCGCAGAAGAGTTCGGCATGGTGGGGTCACTCGAGTGGGTCCAAGAAAACTCCAAACTTCTTGCGAATCGAGCTGTGGTATATTTGAATACGGATGTGGCTGTTGGCGGGAACTATGTAATGATTGCACAGACCTGCCCCATGCTAACGGAAGCGGTATTCTACAGAGCGAAGAAGGTCAGAGATCCCGATAAGTCCAGCATTTACGATAACATGGTAAGCAGGTTTATTTCCACGAAGGACTACCCTGAGGAACCTTACACGATACCTTACTTATTCTATAGTGATTACCTGCCCTTTTACATGAGTATAGGAGTGCCTTCAGCTGATTTCAGTTACTTTTATGGAAAAAAGAAATACGGTGTGGTGCTTTATCCTGTTTATCACACTCAAGAAGACAGCTATTATTGGATGAAAACATTTGTAGATCCAAACTTCGAGTTTCATGTAACGATGACGAAGTTCCTCGGCGGCCTGCTTTTAGATTTCAGCGACACCCTAATTTTGCAGTTTAATGTGCTGCGCTATGCCAAAGCAGTAAAAAGGTCATTTGAGCGGCTCGACGCACGCTTGCAAGCAGATGATTTAAATGTCTCCACAACGTTCGTGCTCAATGCTATCCAAGAGTTTGTTAATGCAAGTACGCTCTTTCAAGCCACAAAGAACCAGCTAACTGGTGAAGAAAGCCCGCTTGTTTTGAGGGCGATCAATGATCAACTTGTCCAGGTCGAGAAAGCGTTCATTAGCCCATTCCTAAAATCTGATGACCGAATGGTGAAACATGTATTCTCACGGGATTCTCAATCGCGGCGCCCATTTAGGTCATTTCCAGGTGTTTTACAGGCTTTAAACGATGCAAAGGAAACCGGAAATATTGATCTAGTTCAAGAGCAGCTATCGTTGATTGCCGAAGCTATAATGTCTGCAGCTGACATTATTAAGCCTGTAGTTTGCAAAAAGTAACAATCTTCTGTAAATAAAAAAAACCCCTTCTGTAATTAAGTATTATACTACCATTATTTTGTAATGTAACCTAGGTATCGTGACGTACACATTGTAATTAGATACTTCACATAATTTATTGCAATTAGATACTTCACATGTTGCAATGTAGGCACTATTAATAAGTATTACAATGCACAACAAGTTATGTATATGTTTGTTGTGCAAGTAACTTGTACGTAGAATTGTAAACTGTCCTTTTATTATTTTTTTTGTATCATTGCAAAAAAAAAAAGAAGACAAAAAATCAACAACAACAACAGCTCGACATTTTCGTAAATAAAACAGCATGAATGCCCGTTAAACAGTTACTTGGTTTCTCGTGTAAGGGTGCACTCCATTGAGGCGCTTTGTCGGAAAGTACAGCATTTAAGTTTGTTGGAAAGGGCTTTTTCATCTTCGCTGTGTTAGCGAAAACTATTTATCATTGCCAAGCTACGATACCGCAAGAAATGATAAACTTCTCACGGTTTTAGCTGTGTGCTATAAAAGGACATGCGGCCAATGGCAGCTGATATTTTCATTTTATAGTCCCATCCCATTTGGGCCCTCTGAGTTTGTCGAAAGTTTAATAGCTTAGGATTACCACTGTAAAAATGTTGTTATTGATTAGCAACAATAAAGTTACTTTCAGACGTTCGAATTAGTAAACTATTTGCAGTTATAGTTCATCATTAAAATTTGTGTGATTCTGACTTGGCTAAATATTATTGATCAAGTGACGAGAAAGCGTTCGTTCGTGGAGGGCTACTGTTATAACAATAGAGTTAGCCTGTTCCAGGTTTTCGGTTTGTAGTTGGGGAGACGAGTAGACAAGAGGCGAGAGGTTTGGAGCGAGAAAGGCCCTCTTTTTCACCCCCGTGTTCTTCCCTAGATCCCCTCTCGTTCCTGCAGTCGCCTCGTTTCCCTTTCTATCTCCCCCACAAACCGGGAACCTCGAACAGGCAACAGAATAGTGTTTCTTTCAGAGGCCTATGAGCCAAAAGTTGCCCGCGACAATTTTACGAAGTTTGAGGACTGCAATGCAGTGGAATTTTTTTAGAACATAAAATTTCCACGGGCAACTGTCCTCCCACAGGGCAAAGAAATAAACATCCTGTGTACATGTGCATATCTTTGGTAAAAACCAAGATTGCATTCTTAAATCCAAAACTCATTTTTCGTTTCTTTACTAAACCGATTAATCAGTGATCCCTTGGACCATGGTGCATCACAGAAACCAAAGAATCTTTACCCAGAGTAGATTCTTTAATTCCTTTGATGCGCCATGATTCAAGTGATCTTGAATTTATATGTTTAGTAGACAAAATCTGCTTTTTGATGTAAGAGTCCATTCTTGGCCGGTATGGATTTTCCCAAAGAAACTCTCCCTTTAATGTTCAACTTTTCTGTAGCAACCGAACTAAAATATTGCCCCTTTTAGCATTTTTTGCTTGATTTATCTTTCGCAGTCTTCGCTGGCGAACGATGACTTAACATGCGTGCTATTTCACAACAACTGAACTTCTCAAGTTGATCAAGTGTCCATTATTATTCTGAGGAATTGTTCTTCTATTACAGGTACAGTTTGTCAGATACCATCTAAAGTGAGCGTGTTGCTATTGAGTAAATTTGGTAGTTTTTACCACTAGTGAATGTGCATAATTAAGGATGTAAAAACTACAAATTTGTACGTAACCCTACCCTGGAATCATAATGTCGTATTTTAATTCAAATTTCCCAGACAGGATGTCATAAGCTGTATTTACTTATCGCCTTAAAAAGCCCCAGCTGGAATCTCCTTGCCTGTAGCGCTGCACATATACGATTTTCCTTCGTTGGGTACTGCAAAAAATCTACAGATATTATCTTAAATAACTTTGGGGGGTCACCTGTTCGTAACTGAACACCTCGAAAGAGCGGCAGGAAAAAAAGAAAATTTAAAGAGTAGGGTCCTAGATAACTCATCTCCAAAAAATAGTATTTTTCAGAAGCTTTCAACGCGTGTTGCTTCAAGACGTAAGACATGATAAGATACGTTGACCAGAATCGCTTCAATTTTCTACAAACACAACGCAGGGCTACAAAGTAACGCCAGATATTGTTTAATGCTCTTTTTTTTCGTGATTTCGGCATTATTTATCGTCCTATGCAAACTCCTCTATTTTCAAAATGTCATAAATAGGCAAATATTATATATGATCGGCCGCGGGTTACTGCATTATAGCGAATGTATTGGTGATGTCATTTGTTGATATTTATGTGCCAACCTGCTCAAACCAAGGAATTTTTCTGCCTTCATTGCCTGGAAATTTGATAACAAAAAAATAGTGTTTGTAACACAAATATCTTCCCTATTCGTAATAGTCGACATAAATGTGTTTCATTTATAATGCGAATAATCATGGCATCCGCCAGGGGGGAGCCACTGGAAAGAGGACAACTCTTAGAATTTGGTTCGTCCAAATAGTTGAATATTTGGGCCAAAATGATTTTGAAAATGAGAGCCACGTTATGAAATATTTAGGACTTTACGATATTATACTGCCAGGCTGTAGTACGGCCGCAGAGAGCGAAGAACACTTCCGGTGACGTCATGAAGCGCGTTCCACCAAAACTTTCCTGCCGTAGCCTTGCCTTCTACTACTGGAAAGTGTCTGGTTTCACGTACTCTTCACTACGTGAGTATAAGCCCGCTGTTTACTTCTCATTTTAACGCTTTTTCACTGTTTGAACAGTCAAGTTCAAAGATTAAGTACTCAATCATCAAAATCCTTTCTAAGACAAATTTTTCTTTGTAATTTCTATAGGAGAATTGAACGATTTTTAAATCGTTTAAAAATACCTCCTTCGCGACCGACAGTCATGTTGGTACCGGGACGAAAAGCCCAAAATAAGAAAGCTTCGTATGTTCTAAGCTGAGCTAGAATTGTTTACTGCTGTTCAAAATGTATTTAATTAGAATCAAAAGTTCTGTATTTTCCGGCTTAACACGTTGTACGAACACCTTGTCCGCGTTGAACAGAGCTTCTTATCAGTGTTTTCTTTTGTGGTTGGAATTACAGGCAGTTTTAAAAGGCAAATCTAAGTTCTTGGAGATGTAAGACGGATACAGAGGAAAACATAAAATGTATTTATCAAGCCTACGCCTCATGACAGTAGAATAGAGTCCCTGGATTCCTTGAACGAAGCCAGTTTTGCAAAGGCACACCGTTGCCGTACAGCGAAACCCTGGGGGAGCGGTTTTTTTGTTTGCCCTGCCGGCTTTTTTTTCTGCGATTTTCTTTCTTTTTTACCCAAAATAAGGGGGGGCGGTCCCCCCCGGCCCCTCCCCTAGATCCACCACTGAGAACGTGATGGTCGATCTAGATTCAGTCCGACAAATTCAGTTGTGTCAAACATCGNGCCGAACCTCTCGCGCCCCTCCCCTAGATCCGCCACTGGTCTGCTAACATAGCAATATGGGCATAAAATCCCCAACGAAGTGGTAGTTGTTGAATGATTAATGAATTTTTGTTACTTGTCGGAGGTGCATTCCTTTCAAAGCATGGGCCTCAACGGGTATAACCATTTCAAGTTCAATGGTTTCAAGGTCTTTAAAAAATCGCTATTGTAGCGGCTCACCACGGACTTCTGGACCTCAAGAAATACTTTATTTCCATGTTATAATAATAATAATAATAATAATAATAATAATAATAATAATAATAATAATAATAATATTTAGTGAGGGAATCCAACTCGCCAAAGGCGGTTTTCAGTGGAGCCCTCCCAAATAAAAATCACCTAAAAATGTTCCCAAGTATACTCACCCGGTGTTCTTTTCCAATAGCTAATTTGTACCTAAACTGACATAACAACTATATGGAAATACTTCTGGTTTCAAAACTATTAATTATTTACTGCATTGATGACTTGTTTCTGACCTCGCCATTTCCAGTCATTTCCTAGTCACAAGTTGAGATAATGTCAAGCGTCCCGAAAGCCTCGATGTAAAGCAAAAGACAAACAAATCGAGCGATACAGGACACGAGTTTCCGTTCAGTGACAAAAGCGCATTGGAGCTTTTAAACAGCATTTGATCGATTTCCACGGTTTGAAAGGTTTGTCCAACAACAACAACAACAACAACAACAACAACAACAACAACAACAACAACAACAGCAACAACTTTATTAACGTGAAACCTTTTACTAATTGGGGACACCTAAAAGTTAAGATTAAGGTTCGATTTACAGCATTAAAAGTTGAGATTAATGATCTATTTACAACTGCTTAACATTAAAATAAAAAGTAGGGATCTATAAACAACATTTGGACGAACTAGGACTAACGTAATCGATCAAAAAATTGATCTGGGCTACTATATAAACATATTACATGTCTTAGAGTAAGTTGGCAAAATTTATCTTCATTTCATCCGTGAAAGACCAAGACGACCTCCAAAACAAAAAAGTTAACACTTAAAAATGCAAAAGTTAATGTTACCTTCAGTTCAATCCATAGAAGAAATGTCCTCTTCAACTCGTTCTTCAACCGTCAAAGTTATTCCCCTTTGCGACGTTCTGGGTACAGGTATTAATTAGTTCCATGTATTTGTGAACAAATATTTCTTCCATCATCAATCAGAGAAAAGCAGAAGAAATTTTGTTCTCCACCACCGTGGGAATTTGCACAAATATCCTAGCCCCACCGTAGGACATTTTCAGCATTTTCAAAATTAAAAATGCATGATAAATGCCCGGGGCATGGGGGACGGGGAACGGGGGACAGTAGGCAGGGGACGGGGACAAGGGACGGGGGACGGGGGACGAAGGTAGGGAGACGGGAGATGGGGGACGGGGGACGGGGGACGGGACGGGGAACGGGGAACGGAGAGTTTGAATTAAAAAAAGTGATATATGAAGGCTTCGGTTTGAGATTGCAACGGAAAGCTTTTTACGTTTTTGCCAGACGTAAATAAAAATGCAAGATTGCTTGAAAACACTGAACTGTTATTAAAATAATTTTAGTCGAGGAATCTGATCAATGCGAAATTCAATCCTCGACACATCGCTTGTACGACAAATTGAAATAAGCTTACTGAAATATTTAGTGGCGAACAGTGTTTAGGTCTTGGGCTGATAGTTGCCCTTGGAAATGTTATGTTTTGTAAAAAGAAACTGATGCAATATACAGTACTACTATTATTTTTTTTAGTCCATAAAATGTCGCCGGCATCTATGCGCCCACCATCCCTCGACAAGACACACTCCATTACAAAAAATAAAGCTGTACCATGCCAAAAAAGGCTAGTCTACACTCGCTAATAGTCTTTACAAAATACTTCCGAAGTGTCTGCGGGTGAATATGCATGGAAAAACGTTCGTCGTTTCCGTTCCATGTGTGAGACCTAAATACATGGATAGGGAGAGTTAACATGAACACTCCATTGTATGAAATAAAAGCTGTACAACCTCTAAGCATGTAAAAAGTTTGAATATGTAGGGTTTAATACTTCTTTTTAGTGTAGCAGGCGTGTCTACAACAGAATATATTATTTTTTGTGCATTTGAAAACTTGTTCTTGGCAAATCTTTCTAAAACGTAACAAAAATCGATATAAGAGCAGACAGTGCGGTATACGAACATACACAGATCACAGTCATCGCTGTCCTTTATAATTTTGCTCACAAACGAATCAACAGGGTGCGGATCAGACAGCTTCATCCAGGGATTTTCGTATTTTGGGAGCATGATGTCTAATAAGAGTATTATTGCTGAGTAGATCTTGTACTTGGGTTTTACAGCTTCATCTTTTTCCTAATATCTCGCGCGTTTTCTCGAGGACATCAGATTCATCAGGAGGGAGAAGTTATGTAGTGCATGCAGTTGGAATCCGCATGTCTTGGATTCGTCCGTTTGCATGCAGATTCGTATGTTTGCAGAATTTTAGCAGCTCGCCGTTTGTAATATTTTTAATCGGCTCATGAATGAGACAGCGCATATCGAGTTCGCTCAGGTTTACTAGCTTTTTTACGGCAGTGCCTCGATTTGTTGGTCTTGAATGTAAAATAACACTTGGTGAAAATAATGCGATTGCTGAATACAGAACAAAAGGTGCAATAATAAGAAGCAGGATACGTTGGTATGAAAATGGCGAA